CAACCAATTCGCGACCAAGTTTGCCACCCTCCGGGACCTCTTTCGCCGCCAGGGCGACGAGATCGTGCGCCGCATCGAACGCAAGACGCACTTCAATGCGCGGGGCATAATCCACGACTATGAGGAGCACAACCATATCCTTCAGAATGCCATTTCGATCTACCTGAGCGACCACTTGGACATGGACAAAAAGTCGGGTCGATACGAAGTCCTCGACAACCTCAACCCTCCAGAGGACAATGACGCCCACGCAGCCGAACGTGAGGACGATCTATACGACGACGACCCGTACGGTGAGAACGAAAGCTTCGAGCTGCAGCGACTCAAAATCGGAGCCCTTCCCCCTCTCAACCAATGGATCAAGATCGAGCCCGAGCTTGAGTTTTACCACGAAGTCACAAACGACGAAGGCGGTGGAGGAAACAGCAACGGAGACCAGGGCAAATCCCTCGAGAAATCGACCATCACGTTTATCCTTCGATCGAGTGCGGCGGACGCGACCCAGCGCATCGACAGCTTTGTCAATCGCGCGTTCCAGAGCTACCAGGACGCTGTGGTGGCCAAGCACAAGAAAGACAAGACCCGGTACATGTACATGGCGGCGACCCAGGAGTTAGGGCCTGGCAAATCGTCGGCTGCGGCGGTCGTTAAGTACAAGCGATACGGGCTCAGCGACGACAAAACGTTCGATAGCTTGTTCTTTGACGAGAAGCCCAAACTCCTGTCGCTCCTGGACAACTTTATGACGAAGAGCGGCAAGTTTGGCGTTAAGGGGTTTCCGTACAAGATGGGGCTGCTCCTGCACGGCCCCCCTGGGACGGGCAAAACGAGCTTGATCAAGGCCGTCGCGCAATACACCAAGCGCCACATCGTGAACGTGTCGCTGAGTAAGATCAAGACGAACCAAGAGTTGATGGACATGATGTTCGACCTCACGTTTCGTCTGTATGGCGAGGATTGGCCGGCCACGCTCCGCTTCGACCAAATTGTGTTTGTCATGGAGGATGTCGATTGTGCGTCCAACGTAGTCTTGGCGCGAATGTCCGGGGGCAAAATGTCGTCGCGGCCGCGCCGCCGTCGAAATCGCCGCGACGCGGACCAGGACAACGAGAAACCAAACGGCGACATCGGCGACGTGGAGAATGATTCAGCCATAGGGCCCAAGAACCTCGCGAGTAACCGCATGTCGGGGTGGGTTCCCAAGGACAAACTCAACTTAAGCGGACTTTTGAACGTCCTGGACGGCGTCGTGGACAGCCCCGGCCGCATACTCATCATGACGACCAACCATCCGGAGAAACTCGACCCCGCTTTGATACGCCCCGGCCGCGTCAACAAGAAGGTCGAGCTCGGCCCGATCAATGGCCGCCAAACGCAAGCTATGATCGAACACTACTTTGCCACAGCGCTGTCGCAAGCGCAACGAAATGCTGTCGCCCACGTGATTGCCAACGCCAGCAACTCGTTCTCACCAGCCCAAATCGAACAACTCTGCGCAGAGCACTACGACATTGACGACATGTTGGCCGAACTCGCCCTCACAGTGTCGTGCTGAT